ACAAGGAAAACATTAGCCCTTTCGGCCTGGGCTAAAAGTGAGCCAGATTGTCTAGTATATACGATGGCACTTAAGCCGGCGCCATGTGGCTTCCCTTGAAGATACTACGACTTTAGGGTGCTGGAAGTCAACCCCATCCATGATGCTAGCCGTCGTTGCTTTCACGGAGCTGCTGGCGTTCGGCGTGCCAAACATGGCTCAGGCAACATTCATCGAGAATTATGCGAAGGTGGTGCCTGACATTGCCGAGCTGGCCAAGTAGTTGGACCCAATAACGCACAATTATTTTGTATTTTTTTATTCAATTTATATATATATAATTATATTATATAGTTACAGTATTTTGCAGGAGACTGTCGTTCATTGTTCTTTTTGCATGTTTTCATGACTGGCAGCTGCTTGATTCGGAGCTTTGAGTTGTTGTGGTGATACCCATTGTGTCTGAGTGTTTGGTTTGATGCCCATCTCATCCGGTGGATTCCAGCAACATTTGCAACTATGCCACCACAAAGGGTTTCTCATAAATTCTTAGATTCTAGACAATGCCCTCAAGCCAATTCAGCCTTTTCATTTCTTCCGATGTTGTTCCTAGCTCACCCAAACAAGAAAAAACACACTCCCGCATGCCTGTGCTTCGCCTCCTTCAAACTCTGTGTGCACTGTAGGCGTAAGTGGCACAGGAATTGTGCCTTTGATATCCTTTAATGAGATGGTTCCCCCAACACTTCCAATTCATGAAGGGCTTCTTGGAAGGGAACACGTCAAACATAGGACACATCAGACAAGAAAAACAGCGTGTTGTGATTCCTGGCAGTGCAAAGGGGTAAGATTGACAAGCTACTGACAAGCTGGCACGTTCGCTGGCGGTCCAAGGGACATTGTCCGACAGTCGAGAGCGAGCTGGTATGGGAGAGAAAATGCATTGTCCAAGGGAGTGTCCAAGGGATATTGTTTGTACATTGGATTGAGAGTAGATGGCACAATCCCCATCCAACAGACATTTTGGGCTTTGTGCCGTGTGCTCTGGACATCTCTGAGAGTAGATGGCATATGTTTGTACCATGTGCGCCCCAACTTGGGGATACTGACAGGTATCAAATCAGCCTCGCAGAGGTGGAGGAGACTTTCAGGTGGCTCTCCACTCAGCAGCAGTTGGCCCTACCCGGTCAGATCACGCCAAGCTCAACAGCCACATTCGTCTCACAGTTGATGGTCATGTCCAGTGAGCAAGATAGGATGCCACGGATGCTGGGCAGCACATAGCCAGGTTGCTTTGTGCCCTGCATTGCTACACTCCCCTGCATCGAATCATGGACATGGATGGCATGGCCCCGAAAGAATTCGGTGAATCGGTTGAATCTATGCGGACTGGTGTTCCATTTCGCTGGGAACCGTCACTGGGAGGTTTCAGCACTGTGCAGGACCAAGGCTCAGAGCCAAAGACTTCAAAAGTCTGTCAAGAACTTTGAAGGACGCAGTTCTGAGCTGGCCCAACTCCATTCACAACACGGAGCCTTTTGTATATCTCTGTTCCTGAAGAAAAAACCCGTCGCAACATGTCCAACATCATTGGGCCAACTCCATGTCAGGCGAAAACAACCAAAGGCTCTCCACCATCCGAGACGCTCCTCTCCACTAAGGAAGGGGGTTTCCTTGTTTGGAGATGAGAGGGCCACCGACTTCCCTGTGCTAGTGGACCCGTTGGATGGAGAATGCATTGCCACAGCGATGGTCCTTTCTGTGTTGCAGCTTGACGAAGCGGAGCCCCAAAAGAGGAGATGGGCGGAGGCCATAAGGCACTGGGTTTTTACGATTGGTTGACAAAGGCCAATATAATGTCGATGGGCGGCAGAAGTCATTCAAAGGAAAAGGTGCAATAATTCTGTGTATAGAAATCGTGGGTTTGTTGCGGGTTGTTGCCCTGTGCGGGGCTGAATTTCTTTTGTTGCGAGGAGGCTGTTTCGTGAATGATAGAATTTCTACTGCTTGGCATGCGGACGCTCGAAGAAACGCGCTTGAACGCACTTTTGGGACGATTCGAGGCTGAAACCGCGGCTCCTGGGCACAGACCTCCCTCTCCCTTCCATTTTGCAATTGGGCACAGAGGCCCGCAGCCCGCAGCCGAGGGTGGACCGGCCAGCCCGCAGCGGGAGTACGTTCGGAATGTGGGTCCCGGTAGTAGGCTCCTCTCCATTGTTTACTTACGGGTTAACAAGAACCGGCAGTATGAACAAGGGCATTTCTACTAGTAGCAAGAAGCTACTAGGTGGAGGCCATCGCTAGTAGGTTGGAGGCCATGGCAACTAGGAACAAGCTACTAGTACTGTAACAAAGGGCATCGCTACTAGGAACAAGAAGCTACTATTTGCAGGTGCCCGAGCAGGCCACGCTCTCGTTGATCATTTGTGGCAATAACTGCTTCAAATCAGAGCACGTCCAGGAATGGTGCCTCAGCCCGTATTAGAGGGACAAAGCCGGAGTCGCAGCCGCAGTGCTGTCCAAAGTCAAAGGTTCTTGTGAGGAATCCACCCCAGCTTGTGCCTCCTGGAGGGCCAGCAGGGTTTGCATCGTGCTCCGTTTTCAGGGTTTCGCCATTGCTCACATGTGTTGCAGGTGGTGACGCAACAGAAGGACAACCCCTGCCCACTGCCCACCCGAATGTGAGACACATGTCCCAATGGCAGGAACGAAAGATGTACTGTACTGCAGAATGCTGCAGATGTATCAGCAAGAATGTAGGAGATCAAAGGCATATTTTATGAATAATATGTTGAACAAAGAAGGAAGCAAAATGAAGGAATATGAAGCGAGGAAAGGACGGAAAACAAACTTGTGTATTTCTACATTTGTTTTGTGTGATTTATATGTGAGATATTTGTCGTTTTGTGCAATCCTATTTGGATGAGGCTTTTGCAAGCGTCTCGCCGGGAAGCGTGTTGTGTGTGCCCTGGCGACAGGTAGACCAGATGGACCCATGCGGGGACTGGGGGGACAGGATGGGACATGCGGCCGCCTGTCGTAGGCTCTTCACAGGTGACGGTATTTGGTTGCAGCCCGCAGCTCCCGATCCTCAAGGATCCTGTGGCCAATGCGGTTTTCACGTTTTCACTGTGTGCCATGGTGGTGAAAAAGTCTTGTTTGAGCACGCCGCTTCACCTTTTTGCTGCTTGGGCTGTGCCGGATCCAACGTTGTTCAGTTGGCACCGGAGCCTTGCCTTGCTGTTTTCCCGTTCTTTCCTGGGTGACGATGATGACGGAGAGAGTTTGTGTACCCTGCAGGCGAGACGACTGGTGACCTTGGGGCTTTTGACATGACTATGAGCCCAACCACCCTTTTGGAAACCTGCCTGAGCAGGTGTTCGAGGATGATGAATGCTTCTCGCTTCACGCGGGCCTTGTTTGCAACGCAGCTCCGTTGCAGAAAAATTCGGCGGTGACCCGTCACCCGTTGCAGTGGAACGACAGCGGGCCACTGTCCCTCGTGAACTTTGCCTTTCATGCGCCACCACCAGTCCGGAAGTCACAAGTCCAGAAGGCCGAAGAAGAGACGAAGCTGCCATCCTAGAGGCCCTCCTCCTGATGCTGTTGAAGAGGCCTTTGAACGATCGGAGTTGGAGGTTGTGACACAAAAGTTGATGACGTTGGTCCAAAGCAGCTACCATCCCGATGGCATGGTTTACCCAAAGGGCAACTTTCTGCGCAACATGCGGCTGAGACACTAGCCAACCCTTTGGTCGAATCCGGGGATACCAAGATGTTGAGGGCCCTGACAAAGCTTTGGCCAAGACAGTGGCAGAGATGAGTGGAGTTCCATGTTTGGACAGACGGCATGAGCACCATCATGCCCGCCCGGCATGACTTGTGCCCGCCTGAAGTTCATTGGGTATAGGAGCGGAGGGCCCACAACAAAGGTGCAGAGTCCGACAGCAGGGCAGACTTATCAACCAATAAAACAACTCCAAAGAGGCAAGCAGGCAGCCAAGAGCAACCAGAGAGGAGCAAAAGCAGATCGACCGAGAGCTACATGGAGGAGAAACTATAAGGCCACCATGTCAAAACCATCCTTGGAGCAATCTATCAAGAAGCCTGGATGGGACGGCAATCCATCGAACCTCTCGATGACGGTCCAAAAATCATTGAGCTCGCAGGAGGTGCGCATTTTGATTTTCCATTTTGCAGCCACTTGCAGCCACTTGCAGCTACTTGCAAGTGGCTGCCAAGTGGCTGCAAGTGACTGCTACGTCTGTCCGGAGAATATCATGATTTCTCCGCATGCAGTTCTGAAGAAAACCAATATTTCTGCAATGCTGTTCTGCGAAGAAATAATCATAATCCAAGACTTTTCCGAGAATAGATTCTAATCTTCTGCAGAGCTAGCGACGAAGAAATCTTACAGTTTTTACATGAACTCAAAGTACAGTGTTGAAACTTACTTGCTTGAGTGACAAGTGGCTGCAAGTGGCTGCCTGAGCAAGTGGCTGCAAATGACTGCAAAACCAAAAATCAAAATGTACGTCATTTGCTCGCTCTCTGCCAAAAATGATTCCGCTCGAGAGCACCATACCAGGAAGCCATTGTTTCAAGGGCTGGGACTTTGGTACGACCCAATGCTCCTCTTGAAGTCGACAACCAAAACTACTCCAGTGGGCCATCCGTGTCTACATTGACGTCTTCATCGGCGATTCATCGGGGTGGAAAGAGTTGAAGTCAATTCAGTCTGCAAATGGGGAAACAAAACAGGCCCAGGAAGACGCTCCTGTCACAATTCAAGGATAGAGCATGGTAAGAACTCACCGTGAGCATCTTTCAGTCAGGCACCTTTGCTCAAGGTCGCGGCCGCTGTCCTCCAATGGATTGCGGGGCTACAATCACCCTCCACAACTGCGGAGGCAAGACCATGGTCTCTGACCTTGGTCAATGTCCTGGATCGGTGCTGGTGAGGCGCGCGCAGGAGCACACTGGCCTCAGCGAGCCCGACTGCAGATGAAGGAACAGATCGGGCGGCCTATGCGAACATGATGCTTTGCGATCTTTTAGAACATTCCTGCACATAGAGCCGGTTGCAAGCTGAACTTCGTCCAGCGCACCGATGCAAAGCCGCCACTGCGTCATCAGCGAGGCACCCATCACCACAGACAAGAGATCTCTCATCAACGTCCGCGCAGTGCAGGACTAACCACTGGGTCAGTCTTACGAAGTTCGATGTAAAGCTCAGAGAGTTCGCTGCCGTAACCCTCCAGCCTGAAAGACCAAAAGCATAAATACCAGTGCCAATTTTATGGTGGGAAAAGCATTGGTCATGTTTTTTTTTAGTTGCGCACTTGGGCACCTCCCGCTGCAGGATCCTCGAGGATCATTTTGCCAATCCTGTTGTCACCGCTGTGTGCCATGGTGGTGAAAAAGTCTTGTTTGAGCACGCCGCTTCACCTTTTAGCTGCCTGGGTTGTGCCTGGCGCAACGTTGAGAGTGTCCTTTTAGCGCAATTAGTTCTATTATCCCTACCCCCTTAAGCTACTGCCGGGAGGGGACCTCACAAGTAAGTTACATTTTAGGGTACCCCCCTATAGGGGGTCAAAAAATGTAAGTTACCACCCCCCCAGGCACCATCGAAACGGGTAACGGGGGGGGGGGCAAAAAAATGTAACTTGTTGCCTGGGACGTGCTTACTTACATTTTACAACCCCCCCCCTTACTGCGGGTCGGCAGATCGAAGTGGGGTGCGTTGGCAGATCGAAGATACGCCAATCACTAAGAAACTATTTGGGGGTGGGAGTCATTTAATGAAACATTTTTCGAAAAAATGTAATTAACTAAAGATATAATTTGGCAACTGTTTGCTGATGCCTCAACACCAAGGAACACATAGCCTCCAAAAATGCAGGACCAGGACACAGGCAAAAGGTGCAAATTAGTCCACGCATCCAAACCCTCAGATTTTACAGGGAATACATGGGTTCTGTGAGAAAGTTAGACCTCACAAATTGTAACTTACATTTTGGCCACATGCCCAACTCCCCAGGATTTACAAGGAACTGGGGTGTCCCCCCGAGGTACTCACATTTTAGCATACTGAAAATCGCACACGTCCGACCGCACGAACCGCAAGCAGGGGCCAAGAAACCAGGGGATCAAACGGCGTTGAATATCCTTGTTCTCCTGCCCAATAGAACAGGCGGCCTCTCCTTTATTGTTCTCCATTATTGTTTATTGTGTATGGAGTGTGGTCCTTTGTTATGTTTCGGTTTCGCTTTGTTGCCCTCCTTTGGGGTTTTCAGTGGGAACATGTATGTTCCTGTTTCTTGGCAGTTTGCTTTGGGTGTGCTTCCTTTTCTTCTTTGTTGATGATGACTCAGACCCACTGCTGTTCCCTCATCTGCTTTGTTTTTGTGTGGCTTGTTGCTGCAGAAGGCAAACATGATGAATCATCACCAACCAAGAATAACAGCCACACACACAAAGCAAGACCCCAAAGGAAGGATGCCAAAACAAAACCCACGCACAACAGAGCAGAATCACTGCTATGTTTTTGCCCTGGCTGCTTGTTCCTTGCTAGAAAGAGCAGATGAGGGAACAGCAGTGGGTCTGAGTCATCATCAACAAAGAAGAACTGGAAACACACCCAGAGCAAACTGCCAAGAAGCAGGAACATGTGCCTCTGATGAGTGTGTATTGTGGGCACAGGAACTCCTAACATGGATGTACATTAAAAATGTCCACGAAGCGTATGTGGGGGGCATATGAGTAAGGAGTTGTGTATGGAAGACCCCCCCGGCCAAAAAGAATTGTTAAAAAAACATATATATATATATATATTCAATATATTTGTTTTTCAGTCCAAAACATGCTAATGATGCAGCCGGCCGCGGGCAGCATCATTCAACTTGATGGCTGACGGCTGACATGTTTGGGCAGGCATTTCCTTGAAATGCCGCAGTTGATCATGCGGGACGTGGTCGTGAGCAGAAATTAGTGTGGGGATGGAGGGGGTCATGTAAGCGCGCCACCGTGCCTCAAAAATGTAACTTACATTTTTGAGGTCTTTCCCTGAAAAATCACCCATGAGGCCTAAAAAATGTAAGTTACCTTTTTTTAGGCCACCTCAAAGTTAATGTAATTACATTTTTTGAGGCCCTCCGCACAGGAAAATGTAACTTACAATTTTCGACGTCCCCCCCTCAGGAAGGGGTAGGGATGTTCTATTTAAATTTGCTTTCCACTTGTTCAACCAGGGCCCCAATGTGTCTTCATGATGTTTCACGAGCAGCAAACAGGGAGTGGAATCGTCGACAGCCTCAAGGACATCATCTAGAAGGGATAAGACTTGCACGTTAGAATGAAAGCATTGCCAATGAATCAAGGTCTTTGCTGACAACTAAAGACTCCGAACTGACCTTTTTACAGCCTTTCGGCTTACTACTGTAGCTCCCTTTTTTCGAGATGATGTAAGGTGTGGTTGATACCTAGCCGGCATTCAGACATATTCAGACAGTTTTGTGGAACATTTGGCGGTTTCCCGGTTTCCCTGACACGCGCTGCTTGGCTGACTTGCCTGAGTTTGCACAGTGCTGTTTGCGAACCACCGCTTCTTGGACCCCTTGTGAGACTTGCGCAAGACCAGAGTCAATTAGGGCATCCAACGCACACAGGAATGGCAATGATATTGGCTGAAATTTTGGTAGCATCAGAGTGTCTGTCATTGCCGAGGATTCCTGTCATCGCAGAGGATGCCTTCATGATGCCTTCGGATGCCTTTTTCACTCAACTTCGCAGCAACTCACACCTGGATGAGCAGCAGTGGCCTGGAGCAACGATAGCAACATTGTTTTGCAATTGTTTGCGTGATGCTTCGTGTGCTTGGCGGATAAAACCTGAGTTGATTTGCAAAACAAACACCAGCTTTGGTAGTTTAAGTTTCTTCATTTTGGATCCCATGGTGGTTTGGAAACAACCTGCCAGCTGCTGCAGTGTTTTTCAATGTTTTTTTCTGCACTTCAATCAGGTCTTTGTCACATTTTGGTTGTAATTTACATTATGCAATACTGTATGCATATGTATATGTTATATACGTGTATATAAATATAGCGCTAAATATATATATATATATATATGTGTGTGTTGTTGGTTTTTTGTTTTGGGGGCGTACTTGTCGTTCAGCGGCCCAGGTTGCAGCGGTATGCGTGTGCCACCAAGCTGCATGTAGAACAGCCCATTTGCTCTGGCAGCACTTGTCACTGCCAAGTTGGCTTGCATTACCAGCTGTTTACGGTTTCGATCCGCAGAAGAATTGCAGTTGGGGCTAAGTTGAATGGTGGAAATGTGTGTAAAGAGCCTTGCGAAATTGGCCTAAACCCAAGGTCGCATCTCAGAGATTTTCAGAGTCCTTTCTAAGGTTGTCCGCGCTCTTTTCCAAGAGATTGCTGTGGTATTTGTGCCGCAAAGCTACTCCTCGACGCAGAATGATTTAGAGCTCCGTGCAAACCAGGCAGCCTCGAGGCTTACGGCAACTCTTCAACCTTTGAAAGACAAAGTGATACAGCTGGAGACGAGCATCAGGCCCGAGTGTCTCCGGAGGGGACGAGGCAAACATTGCAGACCGGAGGGTGTCCGTGGGAGGTGATCAGCATTGCAGACCGGCCCGCAGCCCGCATAGTTTTTTTCTAATAAAGGTTATGTAACTGGCCTTTTTTGTCTGCCTATAGTGCTTTGCGTACTTCTGGCCGGTGAAGATTCAAGTAACACCAAAACCTTGTGTTTCCACGTTTGTGTCTCACTCTGATGCTTTGATGGCGTCAAAGGTGCCATGAAGCGCGACTGCCCGCCAACACAAACAAAGACATATATATATATACTTTTAGACATGCATGTTTATTAACATGTGTTCGCACGCTGTTTTAGCACGCGTCCTTGCAGTGCATGTTCGCGCAAACATGTGCCATCATGTGATATTTATGCGGGCTCACAGAATGCATTATCTGGCCTGTGTTTGTCCGCGCAAGGCTGTCACAAGAAGCAGAAACTGGCAAGGATGATATGGCCAACATCTTGAACACCCAGGATCGCGGCTTCTCCCGGAGGAATTGTCCCATAACTGAGGCCTTTCTAGTCCTTATTTCCTTCCAGTATTGTCCCATGCAAACATGTGACAGTATGTGGGACCACTGTGGGACGCCACTTGTTCCAATGTAACCGGATATGGGCTGTCCGTCCATGGTCCAACAGGGCCAAGGATTGGACGCGAACGTCAGGGCTACCCTGCAAAGGCTCTGTGCTCGTACCCTGCCTCGCTGTCCTTGTGGTTTGGTTCAGTATTTGCCCGTTTGGTTTGATTTTGTGGTTTTGTGGTTGTGGTTTTTTGGATCTTAAGAGTTCAAACTGGACATCCGAACGATCCGATTCGCCCAAACTGGCTTTGCATATAAGAGAGCGCCTGTTTCACTGGCCGGAGGGACGCCACTGGCCCAGGACGATTCAACTGCATCTCCGGATGGCAACTCCTTAGCTGAACCCACTGACGGTGATGCGCCTCTTGTCCATGAGAAGTTCTGATCTGATCATTTTCCCACTGGGAGTGAAGCGTGGGGCACCCGCCCAAAGCCCTCGCCAACAATCCTAGTGTCTCCAAACGCATCGTGCATTGGTCAAAGACATTGCACATGATTGCATCATTGTTGCCTCTCGCAGTGCAGGCCTTGAGCCTGGCTGAAGACTGCTAAAGATAACATTGTAAGCCAGGGATGCTGCTGACGATGACGATGATAACATTTGCTGCTACTATATAGTTAAAAAATACAAATGCGACAAAGGTGGCCACGCCAGATCCAAAATTATCAAGCGGCCTGACTGAACACGAGACGACGAGACCAAAACCCACGAGACTTTTGTGGTCTCGTGCGGGTGCCCACCGGAGCAATGTGAAGACCTACCGGGTCGGCCCTGCTCTGGTGGATTCACCAAAGACTCAAGAAACCACAATACCTTGGACCTTGGGTTTGTCATATTACCTGTAACGGTCAGTAAACAAGCAAAAAAAACAATTTTTGAACTGTCGGCCTGCAACCTAACCATCATCATCCACTGTTACAGGTAGGATGGATAGATCCAAGTAATACCTGAATTCCGCATTCGATCAAACCGGATCCACAGTTCCTCGGACGGAGTCGGACGGAGTTCACACAGGTTGGGGAGCTGTGTTCACGGCCCACGGAGAATACACCAACAGGGACCCGAGGAGGCACCTTTAGGTCTACAGCAGTCTGGCGAAAACACCATAAACAAAGCCAGGCAGAGTTACTTTATTATGTGTTCCACAATCAAAGACCCGAAACTCGTGACCTTTTTTCCTGGAAAGACATATGACGTGATATGAAACTATTAGGTTGGAAGGTGCTTCAAACTTGTGCTGCACAGGGGCAAGATGGCAAGATCATGGTCACATACAAGTCTAATGTCAACCCTTTTAAGAAGGGGAACAAGGTAGCACCCGTGCGCCAAGTCATAGGGTGACCTTTCTTGCCAGGGGCTAATTGCGCATGTTTGATCCAAAAGTCTTTCAAGATCTTTCAAGCAGTGTTTGTTTATGGATTTGATGTTTATTGCGTTTGGATTTCGTTGGGAATTTTGCCTGGCTAGCTGCTTGCGATGTTTTTCTGCTTGATCACGTGTCGGATTCTCTCACTTTGCCTGTTTGGCTCCTTGTTTCACTCATGCTTGTTGCACAGCCACAAGTTGTGCCTAATTAATGCATGATAATGCATGTGTTACATTCACGTTTCCTTCCTTGGCAGCATGTGTTTGTTTGCTTTGATTGGCCTTGAGTGTTTGCATCTTCCTGCAGATATGTTTGCCTCCATTCCCTTCTTGGTGCTTCATGGCTCTTGTCGACAAACGCATTTGTGTCTATTGCAGGCATTCAGCTGGTCTAAGGATGGTGCTTGTTCATCAAGCACCGTCTTTTGCCCAACCAATGCAATGCGAAGAAATTGAAAGCTTCGTGTCCACAACGGTAGGATCCTCAGAGGACCCATCGTTTTTGCACTCTTCCTTTTGGGCTCGAACAACATAGACGAGACATGCTATAATGTTCACGTTTGTGCAGGTCTCCCAATGGTCTGTTTCAAACCTTGTGCCTCTCAAATCTGCATTTGTTGGGGCGCTCTGTTGATGGAGAGTGGCGGAAGAAATCGCCCGGAAGGGCTGGGTCGGGGTCCGTTTCGGCACCTTTCGAAACGGCCTGGGAACACTGGGGCAATTTAAAAAAAAAAAAAACAACAACCTTCAATTCAGAGTGCTTGTTACAAGTATTGCAGGGTTGCGGTTGACCACACTTGTGTGGTACAAAACATGGAAAAGGTGCTTGCTTCTACTGATTCTACTGACTGTTCAGTTTGTTCCTGCTACTTTGGTTTCTTGTTTTGCTCAAGCGCTGCGGGGTGGCAGCTTACCTTGAGATGCCACAACTTTGCCCGTCAGGGCTTCTTCGGACATCTCAGAGCATCCGTGTTCGACATTTTCTTGCAGTTTGATGGCCATAGTAATTACCTTACTTATAGTCTGAGATATGCTGCAGCTTGTGCCGTGGCGGAGCGCTGTAAGTAAACGCGAAACTGTTGAGTCTACTGTAACTAAAGCCTCTGAGATCTGTGAGATATTCCATATTTCACGCTAAGCGTGAAGCGGGTGTTTGGTCCGCTTTGTTCATTCCTGTTGTCTTTGCGTCAGCGTCAAGAAGACCTGACTTGCAGAGCGTCCTGCCGACGAACATGGGCCAAATTTCCGCGTATGGCGTTGGCGGTCTGTTTGCGTGGACCAGATGGCCCAGATTCATGCCAGGATTCGGTTGTTTCAGCGGGGCGTCATGCCCAGAGTTCCTGAGGCTTGGCTAGTGGTATTCTCTCCAAATTGGCCGCCTCCTTTGCTCAAACCGACCCTGAAAACCAGCATCGGAACCGAGATCACCAGCACCCGAATCAAGCCAGGAAAACCCTGTTTCATGCCCTGTAGCCTGCTCAGAAGTGGCTCAAACCACGTCAAACCAACATGTGCCGAAATCATGTGCCAGAAACTCGGCACGTACAAATTGAAAGAAAAACAGTGTTTATTTTCGTTAAAATCCATGCTGCACCATCAATGTGAACGCGTGAGTCATGTGGATGGGCCCAAGGCTGGTCGATGAGAGATGATGAGAGTGTGCAGAGATTGAAAGGGTGGGACCCTTTCTCTCCCTTTCTTCTTTAGAGTTCCAATAAACATTCAATAGCCACACATGCACAACAAGACTGCGAAGCATGGCCATGCTGCGAAGCATGACTGCAGACCCGAACGGCTTGCATGCAGCCCAACTTCAAAAGGACCCCGAAGAGTTGCTGTGTATTGGACGGAACAGAAACGGCAAACATGTCTTCCTGAATTTATATGAACTTATGTTTTTGCTGTGCTGTTTTGCCTACTAGTTGTTCAATGTTGTTCATGATGGTGCCAATGCTTTTGTCACGATTTGCTACAGGCTGCAGTGCAGAGCTGGTGAAATGGCACATTTTGCTTCGCAAGCGCAGCCATTCTTGGCCTGTAAGACATGAACCGACGTGCCAAAGTTCTCGCATGGCTCAGAATGGCCCGTGTAGAAATGGTCGATTGTACAGCAGATGTGTGGCGCACCGTCTAACAGATAGTTTCAGCATAAATTTGGAGAAGGCCTCCACAAAGCTTTTTTCGCACTCGCCATGACCAATGGAGATGGAGATGACACAGGCATTTTGCTACGGGATGTGGATTTGGGTGACCTCTCCCACTTGGCTCAGGACTGAGTCCTATGTGCAATGATGTGCAATGTATGTTTCTCTAACCTCGTTCGCCGCCGTTAGGACTTAGACGAGCAATTGGTTTGGCGCCGGAACGCACCACTGCTGTACGACCTCTACGGCCAGTGTGTCTCTTCTGGAGTAGCTTCTTGTTACTAGCAGTGATGCCGCAATGCCCTTGTTACTAGCGATGCACTTGCTACTGGAGAGTGAAGAACCGGGGGAAGAGTGATCATTGCTTGAAACTGGTCGGCCCTCTTGAACCCTCTTGGTCACTTACACCGAGTTTGAGTCCGGCGTCGCCCCGTTCCGGGCATGCAGATAGAACCGGAACTGACAGCATTTTCGGCTGACACCTCGAGAGATTCCCAACCACTGCCCGCGTTTGTTCGCCAGCCAGCTTCCCGCTGGCGAGTGGCACTCACACGTACTCGACTAGCCGGGAAAGTGTTTATGGGTCCTCGATTTTGGGCCACTGGGCAGATCATCTCTTCCGCCCCTGTCTTAGTACCGTGACTCGAGGCCCTTGCCCAGATACAACATGATACAACTACGTGCGGCACACCGGCATTTTAGTTGCTCCCTTCTTCAACGTCGATATTCTCGAATTCGATCACTTGGCCAGTAACTGCGTTCGTGCTTCCCACAAATTGAGTGGGTGGTTTCCTTTGCTGGCTGAGAAAAGCACTTTAGCTTGTTGAAACCCTGACTTTGCTTATGGTTGTCATGGCCAGTAGCCAGTGCTTGCCTGAGTGCAGTCAAGACCATTCGAAAATCAAAAGTTGATCAGGTTAGAGTCCAATCCATGAAGGTAAACGTGGCATTGCTACCCATGAAGGTAAACATTCATGCCTTCACTGACCCTTAGTTCAAGATGCGTTTTTGGCGCGAAGGTCATTCTGAAATTGACAGGCTGGCCACAGTAAAGGCTTCACAGACTTTTGAGCCTCTTCTATCGCCCCCCCTTGATTTGCATGAAACGGTTGCGATGTAAACGCACATTGGTTTTGGTGCAAAGGGGCCATTTCCGCCTTTTACATTGCAGATCAACCTTGTGCTGGCATGCGCTGGCCCTGCTCTCTTGTGTGCTGGCCTTCCTTGGAAAAAGAAAAGCCACATGCATGCAGTGTTGCCCCATATTTAAAAATGCAGGTGTTGACATCCTGCGTCACTAAATGCGAAGGCCGGGCAAGAAATTGTTGTTTGTTTTTTTTTCAATTTGTTTGCACAGCAAGGGAGCAAAATAAATTGACAGAAACGGGGCCACACAAAACCTTCCAACAAGTCAGCATGCTGCAGTACACTGCGCGGGCGGTATCATTCTTGCAAGCCCCCTTCGTCACTGCACTTGATTGAACAAGTCATATATATATACTGTATAATATATATATATTATAACTTATAATAACTAAATTAGTTATATAAGTATAATATATTGAAATTAACTGGTGCCCCTGCAGGGGTGTCACATAGCTGCATCAAAAGTTGTCAAAAGGGAGAGGTTTACAAGAGAAACTGGACAAGCAAATCCCACAATTCCGAGAACCCCACAGATGACCAACAACTCATCGTTTTGAGCAAGACGGGCGGACCAAGTGGAACCAGCACAATCGAAGGCGGGCAGGGCAAAAGATGCAACTTGAACGTCACCCTAAATACAACGTCACCCCAGATGATACAAAGGCACCAATCAAGAAGGCGCGCACATTTGCAGCTTCCATCCATCCGCGAACAGATATGGATGGTGATCGACGGTCCACAAAGGTGAATCAGCGAGGTGAATCAGCGAATCAGCAATGGCCCTCTCACCGGCAAGGTGCCAAAAACGGGTGCCAAATGGAGTCACCTTGGAGGAACCCGAAGAAACAATTTCTTTTGGAAGCGTGTTTTGCACCATGAGTAGGATATGTTTTTATCAGTAACTTGCAGCAGATCCGTTTTTCGGTCGAGTTTGCGTTGCATCTACCCCTTTGTTATGTCGCTTCTGATGTGCCCCGCTTAGATTGTCACCATCGTTTGTTTTGTTTCCTCGTGCTTCTGCCGCTGCTCAGTACTGTCATGATGCTTTTGTTGGTTCCCCGGCGTGCACAAAAAGCAAACGAGCTGTCCACATTTAGCAAGCAAGCATGGAAGGAAGAACGGCACCACACCGAACCCCCCCAAACAT